CGGCCCCGCCCCGGCGCTCGGCCCCGCCCCGGCGCTCGGCCCCGCCCCGGAGCCCCGCTTACAGCAGCGCCGGGCCCGCTGGGACCGCGGATCCCAAGATCCGTGCGCAGACCCAGCGTGTTGGAACCGGGCGGACCAGGGCTGACCCGGGCATGCGGGCGCCCAGCACGCAGCTTTGCACGTGCTTGTAAGTGTCTTCACGTTACGGAAAACGAAATGGACTTTTATGAGTAACAGAACTAATATTTGTTTCAATTAGAGAGAAAACGTTTTGCCCCGACAGGCAGGCAAAGGGCACAGCGCCGCTGTCCGTCTCTAATATCTACATAAATGCGCTAACGTACGGTTGTCTAAGTGCCAGCGTGGAATCCCATGCGCAGTGAGAGTCTCCAGAGGTTGAGTCGATACGATGAAGGTTAGGGGTGGCAGCTCCTTACCCTTTCACTCCTTGCTCTAAGTGGTTGAAAACAGCCGTAAGGAGCTCGATGGGGATCAGAAATTACATTAAAAAGTGGCAGCACGTGCTCTTCCAGGGTGAGCAGAGTCGGAGAAAGTGGCCGGACCTCAGGTTGAGCCGGGGGTCTCCTACCACCTCCCAGATCTGGACCTTCCATCCCCGCTGTGGGCAGCGTTGCGTCTGGATGGTCCAGTACCTGGACGGTTACAGACCTGCCCCAGCCCGAGAAGGAGAGTCCACTGTGTGGTCTCCGCCTCGAGGGCGCCGGGCTCAGGCTTCCCACCGACATGGCACCGCCCGCCTGGAGCCCCCGTGCCCGTGAGGAGGGGTCGGAGCTTTCCTCCCAGTGTCTCTGCTGCTGGGAGGGGGGTGCTCTTTCCTCTCTACAGCCTCCTGCATGTCAATATTATCACGGTGTTAAATTTAAGAATAAAATCCTGCTATAGCGGGAGTGCTATAAATGAGTAGAATTAGATTTAATTTGCATATAGGTACAGATTATGAGCCAGAGGTGCTTTTCTACGAGGGAACCCTCCCCAGTGCAATATGCTCTGTTCAGCCTGCGTTCTCAGAAATGAGGCTCCTTGTTTGTACCTGCGGCTCTGACCCGGATATATCTGGGCACCTGGGGGCCAGGATGAGGGCCTCCATGGAGGAGGCAGAAGGCAGGGCTGTGAAGTGTCGGGTGGAGGATTGGGGGTGGCTTGGAGAGCTCCCTGCCCAGGAAGGGGAGCAGAGAGTGAAGGCCCGAGGGGCTTCTATGAGTGTTGTCAGACTCAGATGCACAGACCTGCACCTGGGAGGGGGCCTGGGCATCCCTGGGTCTTGTGCCCCCTCACCCATCCTTCCTCTTCTGCTCTCCTGTGGTCGTGTCGTGGTCAGTGGAGGAGGGGTCTGTGCACCTGTCTTAGGGACAGTGACCATGTGGGAGGGAGCAGCCTGTCCCCCGGGGTGGCAGACGTCTGAGGGTCCAGCAGGCAGAGGGGACGCGGGAGGAATGAAGCCACGTGTCCAGGAGTCCTGCCACCAAGTAGGAGACGGAGAGCCTGGCCCTATGGCCAGGCCCCTCCCTGCCCTGTCCTCCCCGGGGCGTCAGATGGACAGGACTCCAGCCAAGGCCTCGTGCTCTGTACACGCTGGACCCTGGCTTCCCGCCCGCCCTGGTCCGCGGTCCGGAGGTTCCGTGCTGCTGGTGGCCCCACGAGGCAGTGCGAGTTTGGGTGCTCGGATCACGTCCTGGGAAGCTCCCCTGTGCCCGGGGACCCCCGAAGGAGGGACTCAGAGCTCAGGACCCTCGACTGTGACACCTCAGGATTCTTCACACTTAACTCACTTGGAACATACACTTGTTAGTTCTCTGATCATCTGAATGATCATGATTTTCCTTTGCAAGAGTGACCAATGGCACATTTGAGAAAAATATTTAGAAGTTTTATTTATTAAAATATTATGTATTGATTTATGTTTGATGTCTTCACATAATCACCATAACCTGGGACTGTGCTTCCAACATCAGGAAGAACTGGGTGATGAAATGAATAAATTCTGATCTTGTGAAATACATGATATACAGCAGGACTGCCGTGTTCAGGGAAATGTACATAGATTTATATGAGTGTCTGCTGCTTTTTGGCATGTTTTACATTTTAAATTACCTATACTTGTCAGTTAATTTAACAAACGATAGATATTTTACATTTTTATCAATTTATAGGTATACATATATTTTGCAAAATGATTGGTCGTTTATAAAGCTGTTTATGCTTGTAAAAGGTGCTGATAATGTATCCATGCAGTCTTAGAGTCAGGGCAGAGACCGGGGGTTCCTCCACGGTGCTTTTCCAAGTCCTCAGGGCTGCTCCCCCAGCCGAGGGGAGGCCTGGAGACTTCCAGGCTGCACCGCAGACCTTCAAGGCAGGCAGACCTATGGAAAAATAGACATGTTTTCTTTTCAGTCATTGGTTTTATGGCTGTGGATTTTGAAAGGCTTCAGTTTTCGGGCCAGGAGGCCATATGCCAGGTCCTCAGCTGGGCAGTGCTCGTCCCTGCTGTGTCCTCTTGTCCTCTGGGTAAATGGCAGAGCTGGCTGAGAGCTGGGCTCTCCTGATTCCCGGCCAAGGGCTCCCTCCAAAGCCCAGCAGCGCCCAAGGGCAACTGGACAGGATCAAACATCCTCTATCTTCTCTGCGGTGCTTTCTGAGACCGAGGACAGTAGGCTGACAGCTTACAATCCACGTGATGTCCAGCGAGGATGCATGCGTGTCTGGTCTCCAGACTTGAGCTCATACCAACGAGTAAATATGTTTCTAACTGTATCATTGCTGCGTTTTCTAGGAGCTGGAAAAGATAGGGACGTCTCCCCATCAGCTGAGTCGTGAAGGTCTTATCAGGAATCTGTCCAGCGCCTTGGAAAGCTTCAGGAGCAGCTTGGAAGATGCCAGTGAGCAGGACTGTGAATGCCAGCCTGGACCAGCCTCCATGCTGCACACGCACATGTACGTGCCCTCTGGTGGGGCCCCCACCTCCTCAGTCTCCCTTCATGAAGACGATGCATTTTAAATTATGAGTTTCAGACAATAATGTGTACAATATGCCATTAACACATGTGTTTTCTCACCAACACCAAAATTTCCCATGACTTTAACTTTTTAAATTGTAAACTGTAGGAGCAGCATTAGTGCTAAGGCTAGCTTTACTGGGGATCAAGAAGTTGGATTAACATGTTGAGATCTGAGATTACAATATGGTATTGGAAAAGTTCTATAAGAGTAGTCAGTGATTTTTCAAATGACCTTCACACTGGATTCATTTTGTACTGTGTTCTCAGAAGTGTGAGCCCCCAGAAGAGGAAATTGGGGCCTTCGTATTCTGCAAGTGACTTATTCACAGAAGGAATGATGTTCCTCTGACTTCTCGATACCCCAATTTCTCATACATGCCACGGTCTATCCTATCGGTTCCTTTCGCATTTGTGAGAAGCCGTTTGTTACCCATCCTTATTTCCCTGACTCATCTTGCCTGGCAGGCATCCGGTGTTGACGGGTATTTGCACACAGAGACATCGTGTGTCGGAATCTCTGAGGAATTTTATGGAAAGGCAATATTGTTCTCTAGTTCATTTCCTGGGAACTGAGGCAGCATATTCACTCCAGCACTGTTCCTGGTGTTTTATCTTGCCTAAATTAGCTTTAATTTTCTGCCATTTTAGGTTGGCCCAAAGCCTCGAGAAGACTTTGTTGTCTGGGAATCCCATTATGAATTTTCTTAGCAATTTCACAGTAACTGGGGGTAAGTACGTAGTTCCTCCAAGTTTGCTTGATTAAAAATTAAATTTAGTTTCTCACACAAATATATTATTAAAATAAAACTTATTAAGGTAGAGTTATGCTATCTATATATGATAAATAACAATTTAGAGCCTGGCAGGTCTGATGTATTTGGGGTTGAGAAGGAAACCCTAAAGTCCTGGGTACCAAAACCAAGAGGGGGAGAGAGAAAAGCTTCGGTGGCCTGGGTGTCTCCCTGGCCCTCCCTCCCTGCACATCTGAGAGTCTCTGTTTCCCCGTCTATCCACTCTTGCTATTCCTGAAGCCCTTACAGCATCAACAAGTCAAGTCTGAAGAATCCTGGCAAATCTCCTCTTGTTAGGAAAAGTGAGATGAATGGATACGTGGAGAGAAGTGCGTTTCCTTGGTCACTGTTTCCTCAGAAAAAACACCTCTTTCGAGAGTCGAGTGTCAAATGCACAGGTCTTAGAGGAAGCAAGGGAGTAGAAATACCCCATAACCTGGGGTTTTGTTTTACTTCCGGTAACATGATCTCAGTTCCTCCCAGAAGTGTAAGAGATGACTTTATTTAGTGCTTATTATGGGCTGGATGTAGTGGAGGAAACATCCTACCAGTTATTATTTATTTTTTGCAGTATGCTGGCCTCTCACTGTTGCGGCCTCTCCCGTTGCGGAGCACAGGCTCCGGACGCGCAGGCTCAGCGGCCATGGCTCACGGGCCCAGCCGCTCCGTGGCATGTGGGATCTTCCTGGACCGGGGCACGAACCCATGTCCCCTGCATCGGCAGGTGGACTCTCAACCACTGCGCCACCAGGGAAGCCCCTTGCCAGGTTTTAATGTCAAATCTTGTCTTCACAGTCAGGAATAGCCCAAACGCTTATTATTACAAGATTTCCTTCCTTCTGATTATTTTTCAGACGTAAAAGTAAAAGAGTTGGTGCAGAACACCGCCAAGTTAACTGAAGAGCTTCGATCTTCTCTCCACATCTCAGATAAAACTATCAGCAGCATTTTAGAAGCAAACGTTTCCCACTCAGAGGTACAGTTTGCTGCTTCTCCCGCCTCACAAGCCCTCGGCGTCCTGGAGCTGTCAGCCTCGTGTGGTCCCTTCTCCCCTCTCCCCCCATGGCTGGGGGTTGAGTGGGAATGATGTAAAAAGGCAGACAGGAGATCAAGGGCGTCCTCTGCCACCACCGTGGGGTCTTCAGTTTCATAATGTTGTCTTCATTGGGGTTTGAAAGGATAAAATTGGTGATGATACTTATTCCACTGATTCCCAAACTGACACACAACAGCCTGGGTAACTGATTTCCTTTCAGTAGGGAGAGCCGGGTCCAATCTGACTGCACCGTGGGAGCCGCTTAGTGTGACAGCAGCGAGCAGTCAGGCCGTGTCATCCCCACGGTGGGCGAGGAACGCTGATTAGGGCCCCAGAAATAAGGAGGTGGAGACGCGGGCTGTGGCGGGGGGCTGGGTTTGCCCGCGGAGGGAGGAGCAGGTGAATTCACCTGGACCCTCGGCAGGGACTTCGCTGGGATGACCTTTCAGTGCATCGCGTGGGGATTTACTTTCCTGTGCAGACAGCCTGCCAGAAGCACTAGCCACGAAGATGGCTCTCAAGTGACCATTTTTATTGACAGTCACCTGGGCCTCAACGTCAACGGACATTTACTTTCACATTGATTCCTGTTACCTGGGGCTAAACGCAAGCCCTGACAAGCAGATGACTTACTCAAGAATTAACCTGCATTGAGAAAGAAACAGATTAGAAGGTAGGAACCCCAAATTTGAGTTACGGTCTCAAGTTGTCTGTGGTAAGTCACATGGGTCTTCAAGGAAAATGTCAGAGGCGGCTTATCGGACGGCACGCGTTGCGGGTGTGCGGGGGTCAGGGTGGGGCGAGGACACCGCCTCTCCGGCTGCCTTAACTGTAAACAGTGGTCAGATCTGGTTTGAAATCTTTATTCAGGGAACTTGTGACGGGAATGGAGCAGTGAGTTGATTTCAGTAGCTGACCCACAGGGCTGTACGAGGAGCATCAGGTTAGCTGACTTCCAGCCCTTGTAGATTCAGAATGTTACCATCTTCTCGGCCCGGTGGTTGCTGCCCGATTAGCAAGTGGCCACCGGGGGTCGCTGACGCTCCGTGGTGGGAGTGCTGGGCCTCGGGAAGGCTCGCGTTCTGTGTTGCCTTTGCTGCAGAAGCGGCTGTGCGGTGCTTCCTGCGTGCACGTGTCTCTCACAATGTGAGTCGCTGCGGGCGGTCCCCTGAGTAACTGGACGGTTTGGGCATTGGCGGGGGGGGCGGGGGCGTTAAAAAAGCTTGCATTCTTGGCATTCAAATAAGTAACGAAGTTACTCGCTGGGGTAAAGTGTATCCGTGAACCCACGTGTGTCTTAGGTTACAAATTCATGTTTGGTAGGTGACAGTTTGGGGCCTAGATTTTTCTATGTGGTGAGGTTGGCAGCACATGTTATGTGTCACTACATATAATCTGTAGTGAACTTTCACTGTTTCTTTCTCTGGGCGCCTCTGCCTTACTTTCAGTCAGCGCTGAATTCATCACGTCAGAGCCTCAGAGTTCCCGGGGGGCACATTTCCTTGGCACAAGGTTCTGGGAAAATGGCAGGAGCTTGCACTCATTCACTCACCGCAAGTCTCCCTTCCTGTTGTGTGAGCTTCCAGGAGCTGGAGCCCCCAGGCCCCGAATGGAGCCGGTGCCTGCGGGCTGGCTCACCAGCTCAACAGACACGTATGGGCAGCGAAGTCCAGAAGTGCGTGTGCCACGGAATTTCAGTGTACAGTGTACAGCAGTGGGGCCACCGGGCCCAGGAGCCGCCCTGCAGATGGGGCTGGAGGCTCAGATGGACGTGATGAGAAGCCGCTGGCTGTGAAGAGCGACGGGAGAGTCGCAGGGTGGAGGCTTCGGGTCCAAGGGCCAGAGGCAGCGGGAAGGGAAGGGACCGGGCCAGCTGTTCCAGGACGCGGTGCCCCTGGGAAGCTCCCCTCTGCCCATGCTCCGTCCTGAACCCTGGCAGCTCCTGTCAAAACCAAATCTCAGACTCTGGGACCCTGGAGCTCACCTCCCCCACTGCCATCCTGGACTGAATCCCCTCCACCCACCCTGGACGCACCCAAGCCTCGTAGGCTGCAGTGCCAGATCAACAGCGACTTCCTCCCTCTGTGTTCCAGGCCACATTTTTATTCTTTTAAAGGCAGCAGTGAGGTCGAAGAGTCAGGACCAAATAGACCGAGAGGGCGACCAGAGGGTCTGTCTCCCCCTATCCTCCATGACTGAGCGTGTTCGGAGGGCCTGGGAGACAGGCTTCCACCATCCTCAGCAGATTTGCCCGCCCACCCTCCAGGTTCTTACAGACAGAGATGGGGGAGGGATGCCCGAGAGCGCTGATATTTTCCACGTGGAGCCCCCCTGGAGAGAGAAAGCATCCTGACACCTTGCCTTACTTCCCTTGGGCAGGAATGAGTGCCTTTTGTGGATCTGGCCCAGCCTCTCTCAGTTGCTTGAAGTGGTTCCGTAAAGCATCAGGGACTCCTGGCTGGCACACGGTTTGGTGAGAGATATGCCTTGCAGGGATTCGCCAGCACCTCCTGTTCCGTTGGTTAAAAGCTGCAGCGGATGGTTGCTGGCGGGACTCATGTCAGAGTAGACACAGGCTTTTTCCCTCTGTGAGAGGGAAAGAAATAATCAGTGTGTGAGCAGAGCTAAGGGTTTCTGGCCCATGCCGAGGAACTTGGCCCCGTGTACCCTGGGAGGTACCACCGGCCACTGGGAGCGTTGGATCCTGAGGGAGCTCGTCCTGGGCTCTGAGTCCTGCAGACCACCCCACTCCCACACCATCCGGATGGGCGTCATGGTCCTTTAAATGTGGGGAACTTCAGACCCTCCACCACCAGCAGAAAAAAGTAAGTGGCTGCTTCTAATGGGGCCTCTGTTTTCCTACTTACACTTAGGTAAATATTTTTGAGCCTGAGTTTCAGGATTGAGTGCACTGACCTCTGCAAAGAGTACTTCTTACTGGTTCTGGCCAATTATTCTAACCTTCGAGGTATCTTTGATCCTGATCTACTTTGCAAAGTGTCACTTGTCTCTCAACTTGGCTAGTCACAAAGGAGATGAGCACGTCTTCTATGCTTCTATTCAAGTCATTAGTGCGGAAAGATGCCCATAGCCTGGGGATGCCCACACCTGTTTAATAGTTTGGGCTCTTAAATGAGCCATAGCACGTCTGGGGTCCTGCTAACTCATTGGTCTGATAACTTTGCCTTCGAAAGAAAATGACTGTGTGTTGATCTGGCCCATTTACGTCGACTCTCTCAACATGGTTTCGCCAACTGCCATTTTCTTGAAGGGCTCATGGAGAACCCAGGATCAGAATTCATACGAGGAGTGACATTATCTGTGGGTAGTAGGACCGTTATCTTGTCTGAAGCCCTGGGAGGAGGGGGTTAGGGTGTGGTTTAGGAAGGAGGAGAGGGAGGGGAGGGCACTGGGGTTGGGATGAAAGGGCCAGCGGGCACCTCAGTGGGTGGGCACCCCATTACACCACCCACCCTGGGCCAGCCTGCAGGCTGGGTGCAGTGAGGGGCGAGGGTAAGGCAGGGGTGCACAGTGCTGACCCACAGACTTCTCGGTGGAGTATGGAAACAAAGAAGGAATTTACTAGCTTAACTCTCTCTCTGTCTCTCTCTTTTTTTTTTTTTTTGCGGTACGCGGGCCTCTCACTGTTGTGGCCTTCCCCGTTGCGGAGCACAGGCTCCGGACGCGCAGGCTCAGTGGCCATGGCTCACGGGCCCAGCCGCTCCGCGGCATGTGGGATCTTCCCAGCCCGGGGCACGAACCCGCGTCCCCTGCATCGGCAGGCGGAGTCTCAACCACTGCACCACCAGGGAAGCCCTCTCTGTCTCTCTTAAATTTCATACTTTTCAATCAACAAACACATCTATTTTTTATTCATCTTTCTTCAGATTTCCTGTTAATCAAAACTCTGTTTGTGCCGGTAGCCTCCGGTCAGTCCTGTTGGGTGTTCCTGGCCTGTGTGTCTTTCACAGTGATCTCCTCTGGTCCCCCTGGAGCACCTGTGGGTCTTATCACTGCCTCTTCCGCACAGACGGGCAAGCTGAGGCTTGCAGGTGCTGCCAGCCTCTGGGCGGTCCCACGGCAGGAGCTGGAGTCGCCCTCATCCCGGGCCCTGCCTGAGGCTTCCCCACCTTCCTCCCACCGTGTGGGGCTGCAGCCCTTCCACACGGACCTCAGACCCATCTCCTGCCCTCTGGGCTCATTCCCATCCAGGCCTCTTCATTGTGCGAGCCGATCCGAGCCTGCCAGGACACGGGCAGCAAGGACCGGCTCCTGTCTGTCACATGGAAGGTGGCTCTTAGTATCGATCCCACTTCTTTGCTTCGACAAGCCCTGACGTGCCACAGTCACCTCCCCTGCTATTTCCAGTTCTCCCCCGTCACTGTTGGTGTTTCTTTTCTGGTCATAATTAGGTTGAGAACAGTGATTGCTTCCAAAGCTTCTCTGCACCTCTGAGTCTAAAATTGTCAGCTGGGCAAAATGGGGACCATCTCTGGGGTACTGCTCTGAGCACAGTTAGGGTTTTGGCAGATGCTCAGTAAACAAGCTCCTGCTAAAAATGCAAATGCTTTGCCTAGGGATCAATTTCACTTTTTACAGGGAGTCTGTGAACTCAAATATCTAATTGTCTGAGTGTGTGTGCGTGCATGTGTGTTGGGGTCACAGTGGTGGGGAGCTGCCTGCCCTAGATCCCTGGCGCCTTGACGTTTTCCAAGCCGGACGTGGACGTGTAGGAAAGGCACCAGCAGCACGGCATCCGTGTGTCTGATAACTGACTGGACCAGCCTAAGCGAAGCCTGAGCTGAAAGATGCCTGTCTGACTTTAAAACAGATTCACCTGTGATATTTCCAGCCCAACAAACTGAGTGTTATCTCTGTTTTTCTTATTGCCTGCCTGCTTCAGGTGCCTTTCAAACAGGGAAAATGGTCATAGTAAGATTAAAAAAAGATAAAGAGTAAAGTAGAGAAGCACAGAGAAGGTGTGGAAGCAAACACGCTGCAGGGCTCTGCTCTTGCGTGTGGTGTGACTGTGGGGTTTCTGCGCGATGGCGCCCGGGACCTCCCCATTGGGTGAAAAGAGGTGTATACAAGTTTTAAGAAAATGTTTGCCTTGGGGCTAAATTCTAAGAGATGCATGGAATGTGATCCTGCTTGGGGACCACAGGTGATGCTGAGATGGTGGCTAAGGCCAGGGTTCCATCGCAGGTGCAGAGGGACCCTCACCAGCCAGTTCTGGTGCCCACATGAGACCAGGAGCCATGATCCCAATTTAAGGAAAACTTCCACAGAAGCCCGTTTTACAGGACTGATCAAAGAGGGGCCTCCCAAATCAAAGCAAAGGGTGGATGTGCATACCCGCCCCCCACTCCTGCTTCCTCTTTGAAACCGTCTCTCAACCAAAGGCATCCATCTTCCCTTAGAGACCACGATGGAAACAGTGGAATAAGGAAATCTTTCCCAAGGTACGTCTGTACCACATAAGTCCCCTGTGGAAAAAGGGGTTTTGGTTAATTACATGTGAAAACAATTAACATCTCTCTCAGAGATTCAAAATGTACGTCAGCATATTAGATTACCTAACCATTTGTGATGGTTAATTTGTATGTCTATATGTGTGGGCCGTGGTACCCAGACATTTGGTCTAATGCCAATCCAAATGTCCCTGTGAAGTTATTTTTTAGATGAGATTCACATTGAAATCAGCAGACTTTGAGCAGATTACTCTCTGTGATGTGGGTGGGCCTCGTCCAATCAGTTGAGGGACTGAGGTGACCCCAGGGCGAGGGAATTCGTTCTTCAGACAGCTGCTGGGGATAAGATGCCACATCAGCCCCGGGCCTCCCGATGCCGGCTGACCCTGCAGAGTTTGGTCTCGCCAAGCCCCACGATTGAGTGAGCCAGTTCCTTAAAAATCTCCCAGAATATGCACATCCTATTGGTTCCCTTTCTCTGGAGAACCCCCATTAATCCCTTCTGCTATTTCTTAATGATTTTGGGGGCATTTTATGGCATTATATGAAAGCATCTGATGAGTTCTCCCTGTTGACAAGGCTCCTAATAAGGGAACAGTAGGTCTTGCTTGGTCGGAACAATTTCGCAGTAATCACACCCATCAGAGTATAAACACAACAGGAAGTCTGTTTTTTTTCTTTTTTATATTCTGCTTTATAATTTTTCTTATTACAAAGATTGTTAATCAAAAGTCGTTGCTAGGCAGAGACGCAGCCCTGGCCCTTTCACAGAGGGAACAGTGATGCACCAGACACTAGCACAGCTGTCCTCAGCCCCTCCTTTTCACTTTGTTTGCTTTTTCTTTTCAAAAATGATAACAGGCTTGGAAATCTGGTTTTCAATTTTGGAGATGGAGGAGAAAAAAATAGTTCACACTGATGCCAATGAAAAATGAAAGCTGATAATCTGAGAGCAAAGGCTAAGACTTAATGTCAGGAGGGAGAGGGTCTTCTCCTGAGAGCATTGTGGGTGGAGGGTGGACACTAGTCCTGAGCTGCTCCCAAGCCATCACAGAGGGCAGGCTGCTTACAGGGTCAGGGAATGACATGCACATTTTAGAAACCTTTCCATTCAAAGTGTTTGAAATGGAACAGAGGTTTGGGATCCATGAAACTACAGGTGAATCCTCAGCGTTTTGGGAAAACGGGCCTTCAAGGGGCTCGTCATCAGGGGAGCTCTGAGTCTGGGGGCCGCACATCTCAGCTGTAGTCACGTCCGACCCTCGTGCTTTGACACAGGTTCTCTCCGGTGCCCCGACGGTGGCTTTGTCTCGAAGGCGCGATGGGGACGTTCTTTGTCTGCTGCTCAACTTCCCCGAGGATGGAAAGTCTGGGTCTGCAGCGAGGGAGCTGTGCCCCCTGCCTGGGGCCCAAGTGTCTTCCTGATTGTGCTGATGGGCCAGAACCTGGACCTGCGGAATTTCGTATACAAAGTAAGCGGAAGACGGCTGCGGCCCGGGGTCGGCCAGCGGGGCCCGTGGGGATGAGTCGGGGGCAGCAGGACAGGTGCAGACCCCGCAGCCTTGGAGTGGGGCTCGGAATCGAGGGGTGTCTGGAAGACTTTCCAGGGTCCTTGGAGTCAATGTGCTCAACGGGGAAGGACCAGGGATCAAAGTCCCAACCTGAGCCCAGCACCAGGTTCCCTCCTCTTTGACCAGCACTTGACTGGAGTTTACCTGGGAGGCTGGCTTCTGCTGTTGCACCCGCCCCAACTCCCCGGCGGCCCCTCTGAGTCAGAGCTGCTCCCCTGCCTTGGCCGTGGCTGCCTCTGCCCCCCGTCACGTCCTGGGGCCCACGGGCTCTGTCCCGAGAGGGGATGTGCTCACCTTTGCTGGGGCCTGTCTGGGAGAGGGGTGCAGATGGCGGGGGACACGGGGCAGCCCCTCCCTGGGTGAACCAGCTGTTCCCTGCCCTCCACATGCCCACACACACGCTGGTGTGCGGGAAGGGGCTGAAGTGGCCGCGGGGACAGCTGCCCTGAGGGCAGGCCCAGTTACTCTCTGCAGACAGGAGTTGCACCCTGGGCTGCATGCCGGCTCTGCCTCTTCTCAAAGTCCCTCATCTTCCGGCCTCCACTGTTGGAATCATTACCTGTGTGTCCAGACCCTTCACCTTTGACCCTTAGGGATTGTCTTGCTCCAGGTTTCTCCCCAGGGATGGATTTGCCAACACCGGGGCTCATCAGCGACGGCTTCGGTGCCCCACATCCGGGAGGACAGTTTGGGGACTCAGGAAAAGGGTAGATCTGCCCTTCCAGTCCAGTGTCCTTTGTGGTCTCCCTCTCCTCAATAACTTCAGGAATCCAGTGGGTGATATACACACTAAGAACAGAGATTAATTTTCAGAATGAGAATTAATTCTGAAAATTTCAGAATTTTCATTTCCAACCCATAAGCAGGAGGATGAACGTTTCCTAAACGTCCCCATGCTCTGCAAGGCCACGTGCCTCGTGGTGGGATCTGTGCCTGCAGCTCATACGCAGGCCGGTGAGTCCTGCATCCACTCCCACGGCCACTCTTCCGCTTCACCGTGGGCACCCCTGGTGGCCAGGTCTGTTAGGTCCACAGAAGCCACCGACTTGAGACTGGTGCTTCTCAGACCCCGATAATGACTTTGACAAAGGGCCGTAAGGATGAGACACTGGGTTGGAGTTGGTCTCACACACACAATGGAATCAACAACACCATTAATAACACCAGCTCCTCCTATCCCCGCGGCTCCAGGGAAGCTGATGGGTACGCGGTGTTGCTCAGAGGTGTCAGCCATCAAGACACACTCGGGGAGCCACACCAGCTCTGGGGTCCAGCAGGCTGGGCTCACTCGCAGCTTCCCTTGGCTGATAGTGAATCTGTGATGCCTTTCACAAAGCACAGTTCCAGGTTAACGTCCAGTGCGTTCCTCTGGCCGTCAGTGCTGGGACTCCATGCAGGTCAGTCCCATCGGTCGGTGCCCCGAGGGCCACTTCTGATGTGCAGCTGCAGTTAGAAAGGCGAGTGGGAAAGCGATAGGAGCCTGCACCCCTGGCTCCTGCCGAGGAGGCTGTTGCCTTAACTGACGACACGTGCACATCATTGTGTGCAGAGAGAGTGAGACACGGAGCAGGGGTCTCGGTCCTGCAGGTCAAGGGCAGAGCCAGCAGCTGAGGGGCAGGTGCAGAGCCCTAAGGGCCCAAGTTTGAAAACCAGGACATTCAGAATGCAGATGAAAGCAGGGGGGAGGGTGGCTGTGAGTCCTCCCCCTCTGTGGGAAGGGGCAGTGTGTGCTAATTTACCCATTCATCCAACACGTATTTCCTAAGCAACTATAATGGTATTTTTTTGAAATGTTTATTGATTTTTTTGTTATATTATTGCTATTTTTAATAGGTCTTTATTGGAGTATAACTGCTTTACAAAGTTGTTAGTTTCTGCTGTATAACAAAGTGAATCAGCTATACATATACATATATCCCCATGTCTCCTCCCTCTTGCATCTCCCTCCCTCCCACCCTCCGTATCCCACCCCTCTAGGTGGTCACAAAGCACCGAGCTGATCTCCCTGTGCTATGCGGCTGCTTCCCACTAGCTATCCATTTTACATTTGGTAGTGTATATATGTCCATGCCACTCTCTCACTTCATCCCAGCTTTCCCTTCCCCCACCCCAGGGCCTCAAGTCCATTCTCTACATCTGCGTCTTTATTTCTGCCGTGCAACTATGTTCATCAGAACCATATATATATTTTTTAGACTCCATATATATGTGTTAGCATACGGTATTTGTTTTTCTCTTTCTGACTTACTTCACTTTGTATGACAAACCCTAGGTCCATCCACCTCACTACAAATAACTCAATTTTGTTTCTTTTTATGGCTGAGTAGCATTCCACTGTATATATGTGCCACATCTTCTTTATCCATTCATCTGTCGATGGACATTTGGGTTGGTTTCATGTCTTGGCTATTGTAAATAGTGCTGCAATGAACATTGTGGTGCATGTGTCTTTTTGAATTATGGTTTTCTCTGAGTATATGCCCAGGAGTGGGATTTCTGGGTGATATGGTAGTTCTGTTTTTAGTTTTTTAAGGAACCTCCATACTGTTCTCCGTAGTGGTTATATCAATTTACATTCCCACCAATGGTGTAGGAGGGTTCCCTTTGGAAATGTTTATTAATTGATTGACGTTTTCTCATAACAGAATCTTTTCTTTAATTTTTTAATCTTTTAAATTGAATTATAATTGATTTATAATATTGTGTTAGTTTCAGGTGTACAGCAAAGTTATTCACTTACACATCCATACATATCTATTTTTTCAGATTCTTTCACCTTACAGGTTATAACAAAATATTGAGTAGAGCTCCCTGTGCTAAGCAACCAGTATTGCCAGAGGCCGTTCTCGCAGCTGTGGCCACATCAATGACCATGACAGGCAAAAATCCCTGCCTGTTCCCGAACAGAGAGGATGCAGTGAATAAGTAAAACAGAGAGTGTGTCAGTGGTGACAGCACAGGTGGGTCCCAGCATCCGGAGCCACTGATGCTTCTAAAGCCCCCAGGGTGCATTCCTGGCCCTAATCTTCCAGCTGTGATGGTGTGGAAAGCCTTTGAAGTTCTCTGAGCTCAGTTCCTTCATCCACAAAATCAGCACTGGCACACAGCCCACAGGGGTTCAGAGGACGGGAGGATGTGTGCGCTGTGACACAGGGAAGCCATAGGTAGATGGAAACTGTTTCACACGTAAGAATCTTTTTATTGTGACCCTCTTCTTAAATAGCCACTCCGGGCACCTCAAAGACAGAAAAACAATTGTTTGAAAGTGATTTGACTTTTAACAGCCAGTCATATCTGCTCCTGGCATGTTCTGACGATACCAGTACGGTTGAGCGTGCTCCCAGAACGGAGCCAGTAGAGAGGGCTTTATACGGCACAGCAGAGGTGTCTCCCAGGCTCAAGAGAATAAAATCAAATAAGGCCCTTCATTCTCTGCCCTGCTCCAGCGATGCTTGTGAGGCACCACTTCCAGCACTGGTTAGGTTGTGTTGTGTTTCCCCTGGAGACTCTGCTCCCTGTGGAAGCCAGCGGCCTGCTCAGCTCCCTGCTGGATGTTGGGTCCAGCCTCGGCCACCTGCTCCCCGGAGCCGGCCGTGTCCTCAAACACCTTCCTGAATTCCTCCACGAACTTGAGATCGCTGCCTTGCTGGACACGCTCGACTTCCCACAGGTGGGCGCTTGGCCTTGGCCCCGGGGAAGGTGCAGATTTGCTGTGTCTGTGTGTTTGCACCTCTGCCTTCCTTTCTCTTCCACTGTCTAAAAATGTGCATGTGGTGACAACGCACAGGGATGAGGGTACCTCTTAGTGGTTCTGGAGGCAGCAGCCTGACAAGGAGCAAGGCCTGGGATCCCCTGCAGAACCAGAGGAAGCGGGACGCACAAGCACCCACGTGGAGGTGGCAGTCCAGGCGTTCGCTGTGATGTCAGAAGTCACTGGATGGATTACCCTCACAGAGGAGATTCCAGGGGCCTGTTTAACTGAACTCAGAGAGTACCTTGCTTTCAGAAACCTTAATATGTTTATTTGCACACAAGTAGTTGGCTTGCAGATTACAGATCGTTTGCTGCGAATACAAACTCGAAGTTGAATGAGGTCAGTAGCCAGATGTTCGTTGTGCCTGGACTCTCTCTGCCTGGAATGGAGTTGGTGGGGAAGGGGGTTGTGTGTGGGGCCTGTGAAAGGCGAGGCACAGGGTGAGGGGCGGATGGTGCATCCTCGGACCTGCCTCGGGCACGGGACACGGGGTGTTCATTCAGCTGAGGGGTGAGTTGAGAGCCCTCGGGCATCTGGGAAATTTAGCTGTAGAGACACATATTCATACTATTAATTAGTCTGAGTTAGTGGTACTTTATGGATTAATGATTTATCACTGGACAGACAGCAGAGATTTGTCGGTGTGTGTGTGTGAGTGTGAGACATTTGTCTCTTCAACCGTATAGACCAGAAAAATCACTGCTGTGATTTGCGTAGCACTTCAAGGACAGAAGGACTACCGCTGAGATTTCATACTTTCGACTTGGTGACAATCTTATATAATCAGTTGGAGGAGGGACCGACGTTTCAGGAGCCTGGGAGGGAGTCCCTCTAAGTCACTGTTTGCCTGTGGTTTATTTTTCTTATGTTCTCAGGCTTCAGCCTTTGGTCCTTTCCAGTCTGTGATGAAGGTGGTTTGCAAGGACCAAGCCTCTTTCTTTAGGAACTCTGACATCTTTCTTCACTTGCCTAGAGTTAATGAACTCTTAGGAGATGACAAGGAAAAATTCAACATTCCTGAAGATTCAAGTAAGAAAACAGTAATCCATATTTGTTTAGATTAATTTGCATTTTGATAATTAGCCCTGCTTTGTACAAGATATTCTGTCTGTATAGAAAGTGGGTACATACGAGCAAAGAATTTCCTACCTGCACCCTCTAACCTGTATCCTTCATTTTCTGTAAGGTCAGCAAATGCTGGCGTCCCAGTTGGATTTGAAAGACCCCTGCACCCTTGAGCATGGTCTAATTCTCTCACCTGTGACACTGAGGGACTGGGTCTTAAATTCCAGTGCACCTGAAGCCCCAGCCCTTTTGGGATCCCTGGGAAGCCAGTAACAGTGAGAGGTCTGGGCCCGGAGACCAGGGGCAGCATTTTGGTTCTTGCAGAATGGCTGTCTCACAGCCAGGAGAGCCATATGTAGTCCCCTACAGATTTGCCTTCTATATAATGCTCCCTAGCAAATAACAGCAGACTTAAAGGTGATGCCCTGGCCGCACTGTAAGTGGGTGCATTTTGGTTAGGAAGAGAGACGAAATGCACAGCTAAGGGTTTGGGTTTAGACTGCTCAGCCCCACCAACAAGTTGTGTGTCTTCGGTCCTGTGACATCACGTCCCTGAATCATGTTCATCTCATGTATGACATGGAAACGTAGTACCTGCCTTGTAAGGTTGTTGTGAGGAGTGATGGGGGTGATATCTACCGACTGTTGAGGACGGTGGTACCGTTGAGTCCTAGTGTATTAATCACTCTTCTGCGCTGTACGGCAAGTCAGTTGTTTAGGACACACACTTATCATCTCATGGTCTCTGTGGGTCACAGTTTGAGCACTGATTATCTGGGTCCTCTCTTGGGATTGCATGAGGCTGAAGTGAAGGTGATGGCCAGGGCTGGGGTCTCATTGGAGGTAGTTGTTGGTAGAATTCAGTTCCTTGCAGCTGCAGAACCCCAGGAGGCTGCGTCTTCAAGGACAGCAGAGTATCTCTTTGATTCTGAGGCTTCTGGTCTCTTAAAGGGTTTAGCTGATGGCTCAACCAGGATAACCTCCACTTCGATCAACTCCAAGTCGGAATCCCTGCGCCGTGGCCGTGTAACCTAACCAGGGGTGTGGCGTCCATCATATCTACAGGTTCTATCTGTAGAACAAGGCTACAAGGCTGTCTTAGACTTCTGCCTGCTGTACCCAAGACACCTCTTTATATACCTGTGCCTGGGATGGACAGACGTGTTGGTGGGACCAGGGAGAAGGAGATAGGGGAATTATGTAGAGATGGGGCTGCAGGGTGTCCTCAGAGCTGCCCTAGAGACAGTGTGTTAGTGTGTTCATCAGCTGATGGATAATTTGGAGAGCTGTTGAACAAAATATAATGTGGCAGTATAGATACACATTAAGGCTATTCATATGGAAGAATTTTGTTGTCTTCTTTCCTAATCCTCATTTCCTCTTTTCTTCTTGCATATGGGTTTTTTGAGGATTATTAATTTGTTCATCAAATCCAGTCATCCAGTTATCCATCCATCCTGCATCCATCCATCCATCCACCTATTCATCCCTCTATCTTTCCATCCATTGCTCCATCCATCCATCTGGTTGTTCAGCTAACACTGACGACCAGTTTTTCTTTGTCCTTTCATACACTTATTTCAAATGACGGTCACATGAACCATAGACAATATTAGTACCCTCATTTTTCAGAGACACGAGAGAAGCTCAGAGAAGGTTAAGTGACTTGACCAAGTTCACAAGTGGCAGATATTGGGATTCCTGGTTTCAGATTTCTTGTTCTGTTCATATGTATGATTATGTCTTTTCCAAAGTAAAAATTGCTACCATTTATATTAAGCTTATAATTTAAAGTGTAAGTTTTAAAATATCAGTAAGAACAACCTCTATAATTAATGCTATAAGAAGTCATTATGTAGTCATCTCTTAATTTATATTTTATGGAATTATTTCTATCAATTTTATTGTATTTGTTGAATAAAAATAATTTGTTTTTCTTTTCAAATGGGGAATTTAGGAAAATGAAACTGATAGTGAAAATTACCGCAACAGTAATTTTCCTACCTTGCGTGTTATGGATTGTGATATCAAAGCTAAGATAATATTTTCATTTTAAATGTTCTGTTCAGGAGTAAAAGAACTGGTTATACTGAAGTATTTGTCACTAACTGGCTTAAAACCTTTCTTACTTGATTAGTAATCATAATGGTGGTGAAGGCTCCACCTTCATTAGTACCTGTTGGTTTGGTTGAATAAACCTTCCATTGAAACCAACCAGCACCACAGCAGTATGAGTGCCAACATGAGGAATTGATGTTTGGGTGAAAACAAGGTGATTTAATGTAACAAAAGCAGTCAGTGCAATAGTTCTGTATAGGTGCAGCAAAGGAAATTCCATAGCAATTTATAAAGCTAATTTCTTAAGAAAAACCTAATTCTAGTCTCAATACAGTGACTGTTGAAAAGAAGATTTTCTAGATTAAAAACTAGATGCATTCCTTTTGCATTACTGTTTTAATTTTTAGGTATCTTTGTCATTATTTAGTACTCTTACCTATGACTTAGTTTAAAAATGTGAAGGTCATACTTTCCTCTCTTTCAAATTATTGAAGGGAACATGGTGTCTCAGAGTTTTGAGACAAGAGCTGCTAAAGACAAGGACAAGAAAAATTATTTCTGAACTTACTGCCCCAAATCAGAATTGAGTCATGAAAAATATATATAAGCCACTCATCGGAAAGTGAGGCGTCATGGCTCTGTACATGAATGTCCTTGTTATCCTGGACATCCCCAATCATGAGCAACACTTTTTTTTTTTTTTTTAATTGTGACAGCACCCTTTTGCTTGAAGCTTTATCAGGAAATACTACAGTCTCCAAATGGTGCTTTGGTGTGGTCCTTCCTAAAACCTGTATTCATGGAAGAATACTGTACACACCAAACACTCCAGAGATTAATAACGTCATTAGAAAGGTGAGTTTGAATGAATGAGGATGTTACAGACCATTACAAGCAGTACAGTGGGAAGCAGTCTGTTAAAATATTTAACATGATTGTTGTATAGCTTGGATTACACACAGTTTTCTTATGTTGATTACAATTTATTTTCCCCTGGGTATTTTTTTCCTGTTCGTGTCGTTGCTGAACTTGGACATGCTGCGTCGTTCCCTCAGAGGACATTTTGGGGGCAGGAGGTATTATTTGGAGTAACTAGTGCAGGGAGGACACTTAGACAAAGGAGGCCGGTTCAGGTGGTCCCAGGAAGATGTGGAGAACAGATGCGCATCTGTTTTGCTTGGTGCAGCTGGTGGTGAAGGAGGAGTCTAACCCTGTGTTCGTGGTCTGGGTCTGGTAGTGACATTTCCCAAGTCGGCGGCAAGGCTTTGTCGGCCTCATCTGTGGCGGGTGAGCCCCGGTGAAGAAGCCAAAGAGCTTCCCTGGAGGCGTCTGGACATCCCACAGCTCTGCATGTTTTCCCTTCCTTATGTTTCTTACCTTCTCAAACCCGTTAGCTTCAGGATTTATCATTGTTCATATTTGCACTTTCTTTTGACATGGTGGTGCTGTGTCTTCCCAGGGTCTTGACTCCTTGTCTGACGGTGGCTTATGAGCCTGCAGGCACCTTTGAGGGACTTCAGGAGGCCATGGGGTCTGTCAAAACCAGAGGAGGAGACATCAAGCCTTATTAATGCTAAACTTCTGAGCTTCAAATAGTACTAACAACTTAAAAGCTAAAAAGTTGGCGATGGTGTGTGGTCATCCGAGCAGTTGGGTTATTTTTGTCAAAGTAGATTTTACAGGTTCACGTTTCCTGCCCTCGTGGTTGCCACGTGGCCTCTTGCTTCCTTCCTGGGACTTAGCTCAGGGGCTGTATTTGCCTCAGTTTATTCTGAATGTGCTTAATAACTTCTGCTTTATCTTGGGACTGTCCATTTGGACTGGGCTGTCACAGTGAAATGACATTAATCTAGACGTATGTCAGGAGCTCATCCTTCCAGGGCTGGGCTTCCGAGGGTCCTGGAACTAAAGCCAGTGTCGTTCCAATTATCTCCCTGCGTTAAGCTTGCAAGGGCTGTGGTAGTTCAGAAATTTCGCAGAAAATGGCTCTGTAGCACGGCTTTATTTTAAATTCAAATTTTAAAAATGGGCCATGACTTTATTATTATTATATTATGTATTATTACACAAAGATATTATTGATGATATATGAAATGTACTGTAGGATTATATACTGTGCTCTATTCTGTGATACAACAGTTAGTATGACAGTCTTGCTTTTGAGGAGCTCACCCTGCGGTGGGGAAAGAAAAGACAAACATCTGAAGAAATAATTCAGAACTAACATGATCAGAGATTCGCTCAGTGTGGCACAGGGCACAGGAAGTGAGCTTCCAGTCCCCCTGGAAAGGAGAGTTTAGAAAAGCCTTCCGAGGGAGGGCATGTACAGGCCTCCATGGGGGCGGGAGGAGGGGGCTTGGCCATGACAGGGATGTGGCAGTGAGTGTGCCCCGTGCGTTCTGAGAATGACGGAAGTTTTGGAAGAACAAGCAGACATTTCCCTGGCTCTTGCTTGGTCCCCCGTACATGTCATAGGCAGTGCTGTGCGCTGGTGCCTTTTTCACGCATTCGCTGTGGCTGACGACTTTGCATGAGGGTGTCCTGGTTTGTACGTATAAAGCTAAACTTCGTGGCGCTGGAGCCAGGCTGAATGATTCTATTTAACTTTGTGGAAACCGGTTCTGTTCATTGGACTCCCGGTCCAACGTTCCACGTGGCTGGGAGAGCCTAGATGCTTTGCCAGCTTACGGTGTGTGAAGCACATCACCTGTCAGGGTGGAAGGGCCTGTCTTGCATGTCATCTACTACTTGGTCTTACTCTCTCCATTACTTCCCAGTAGGTGGAACCACATGAAGTTGCCATTTTTCCGTGGGAAAAAAATGTATAAAATTGGTCATCTCCTCTGGTTGGACCTGTAACTCTGAGGGTAAAGCACCAAGCAGCACGATGTCGTGAAGAGAAACACGTGTGCACGTGGGGAAGGCCGGGGGTGCCCCCGTACCTGTGACCTGTCCCTTGTCACCGTCCCTCTCAATAGGCCTTTTCCTCCCAGTAACACGGAGGCCAGAGGGAGAGGCCCGGTTTCTGGGAGCCACGAGCGTAGTCCAGACCTCCTCCTCTGCTAGCGCTGTTTTCGGAAAGGCGTTGCCCCCAGGGCGGTGGGGAGTGAAGGTCACCTCTGGAAGCAGGAGTGGCCGGGAGAGCAGCGGCTCTCAGGGCCAGGGGGTGGCAGCTTTGCCCGCAGAGCGCCTGCCGCAGCGTCCGGCGACGCTCCTGTACCCGCCCACAGCCGGGCTCGCTGCGGGCATCTGGGGTGGAGCCCGGGGAAGCCGTCGGCTGCCCCACGGGCGCGGGGCGGGCCCTCAGCGGGGAAGGTCGGTGTGCTGAGGCTGAGGGACGCCGGAACGCAAGGGCTTGTCGGGCTGGATGGGGCCCCGGGAAGCAGACGGACAGAGCAGGGGCGGCAGGGCCGGGGGTGCTGGGCTGGCGCGCGCTGGCTGCGCCCTCCCGGGGGGGCCGTGCTGCGCCGGCGCTGGGGGCCGGCGGGCGGCCTAGGGCAGAGGGGCCTCGACCTCACTCTGGTGTGTGTCTGGAGGAGGGGGGGCCGCTGGTCCCGAGCCCACGGGTGGCAAGCGCAGGGCTCAGGCGGGAGGGGGAGACGGGGGGCGGGAGCCAGGCCTCCCCTGAGGACCTGCTGCGAGCCCGCTGTGGCCGAGCGAGGCCGGACAGGCGTCTGCAGGGGAGGCCAGGCCTCCCAAGGGCCGCTCCCGCGGGTGAGGCCGGCGGCCCCCTCGGCGGCCAGACAGGGTCCCTGTCTGTCTGACACATTCATTAAATGAAAAATACGCAGCTTACAAAAAAGACTGATCTAGATATAGACTGGCCTCCAGGACTTACTGTTAACTGTATTTCAGGACGGTGGGGAGGATCGTGGGGTGTCCCAGTAATGAAAAGCGGGTCACACACGTGGGCACCTGTGCTCCTAAGTGTACAGACAGCTTCAGGACGACGTCCAGGGAGCTGCTGGCAGCACTTCCTCTGCGTTTGGAGCGTGGTTCCTGGGGCGCAGAGTGGAAAAGGGGGCGAGCTTTTCACGAAGCCCGTTGAACACTCGGAATCGGCTAGAAGCAGCAAGATATGCACGTCTGACAGCGTCCCGGGAAGTCTTTCCATCTTGCTGTCTCGTGTGGCGGTGGATTGGCGTGTCAGCGGGGAGGAGGCAGAGCGCCGCGTGTGTGCTTTGTCGTCCTGAAGATGCGGCCAGGCCGCTCCACCGAGATGCCCAGTCCAGCCGGCCCTCTGTTCTGGGGAAGGTCAGGCCCAGGTCCCTTTGTTTCTGGGGCTCCAGAGCGACCTTCCTCTCTTCTCCCAATCCTGCCGAGATGCGGAGGGAGGACCTATTTAGAGAGAAATGGGCTGTGGGGAAGGGGCTCTTCCCTCCCGGGGTCTGCCCTTCCTGATTCTGGCCAGGTCAGAAAAAATCCTTTCTTTTATTTAAATCTTCAGATTCCTCTGTCTCATTCCCCTAGCAATAAGCAAATGGTCTGAATGCTGAGGAGGGTGATATAAATAAGAAAATGATGAATACAACAGAAAAAATAAACCCATAGCTAAGATCTTATGCTCTGACCCAGTCACTTTCTTCTTTCTTTCTTTTTTTTTTTTTTAAACAACAATGAGCTGTAAGGAAAAGAGGCTTAGGGTATTTTCTAAAATCAGCAGTTATTAGGTGGTATGTAGGTGAAAACAGAGCCCAAGTAGTTTCTCCCAGTGATATAAAAGTGAAGACAAGACTTGAGGTTGTGGCATCTCTGAGATTTGTGCCCCAGTTCTGGGCGGGGCTCCGAGCACCGTGCCGGGTTGTCTCCCTATAATCTTCTGAAGGTTTTGCTCAAGTTCTTGATTCTGTAAATTTTTGTATTTCACCAGTTTGGGGAAGTTTTCAGCTGTTACTTATTCTAATAGCCTTTCAGCCCTACTCTGTTTCTCCTGTCTTTCTGGGACTCAAAAGATATGAACGTGGACTCCTAGTATTGTCCTGCAGGTCCCTGAAGCTCTGGTTACTTTGTCCTCTGTTTTTCCTCTTGCTCAGATTGGGTGAAGTGTACTGACATGTCCTCAAGTTCACTGGTTCTCTCCTCTGTCATTTCTACTTGAGACCATCCAGCAAGTTTAAAACACTTTCTGTTATGGCATTTTTCAGTTCTGTACTACCCCGTGCTTAGCTGTCTTTTTAATAACTTGTATTTCTTTGTTGAACTTTTCTGCTACTTAATTTGTTTCAAGAGAGTTTTTAATTGCTTGTTGAAGTATTTCTATGATGACGGCTTTAAAATACTTGCCAGATCATTCCAACGTCAGATTTATCTCAATATTGACATCGGTTGATTCTTGTGAGTTCTCTGGTTCTTTGTGTGGTGGGTGATGTTCAGTTGTATTGTGGGCATTTTGGCAGTTATATTCAGAGACTGTAAGAAAACCTTTCATTTTTGCAGACAGTCTCCTGTTCAAGTTTAACATACAGGTCTCAGCGTCCTTTGTGGGCTGTGGTTCCAAGGACAGTTTAATCATCACAGGCTTTGTGCTGTTATTTTGATCTCCTTGGTTCCTCTGGTGCCACTGAAGCTTCCATGGGTTCCCGGTGCTGTTGCCTGAGGGGCGGAGGGGTTTCTCCAGGAAGTTTGTGCCTCTTAATCCCCTTCACCTGTTTCACTGGAGACCACGAGTTTGTTCTCTGAATCTATGAGTCTGTTTCAGTTCTGTTACGGTGGTTCATTTGTTTAGTTTTTTAGATTCCACATATAAATGATATCATATGGCATTTGTCTTTGTCTGTCTGACTTATTTCACTTAGTATGACAATCTCTATGTCCATCCATGTTGCTGCAAATGGCAAGATTTCATTTTTTTTATGGCTGAGTAATATTCCACTGTATATATGTACCACATTTTCTTTACCCATTCATCTGTCGATGGACACTTAGGTTGCTTCCATGTCCTGGCTATTGTAAATAGTGCTGCAATGAACATTGGGGTGCATGTGTCTTTTCAAAGCAGTGTTTAAGTAACTTGGCTAAGACCACCAAGCGAATAACCCAGAATGGGGGGGCCTTGTTCACCTCATTTTTAAGTGCTCTCGGTGTGATCTTTCAGAGGCTCAGTGCAGTGCGTATATTCATGTTGCCTACTGTTCAGTTCTTACAAAATTCTGCCTTATTTCTAGTCATATTTACTTTGTATCTTTTAATGATGTGTTACTGTGTGTAGAAATATTAGTCACTGTAAATTCTGAATTTATTTCAGAATAAAATGATCGTTATTCCATTTATACTTTTTGCAATGAATTTGATGATTTTTACTGTTAACATTTCTAGCTTTTATGTTTTTGCTTGGTTGTTGAGATCTTGTTTTTGATTCAGTATAGAAATACAGTTGGCTTTGATAGTTCTGTCTCTGCCATATAACATAATCTTAATTAAGAAAAGGGTTTTATTTTGTTCATAGCTATAATTTTAGCACCTACACCTATGCCTGGCTGGAAGACCTTTGGTAAATATTTATTGAGTAACTTGACGGGATGGGTCTGAAAAATCTTAGCCTTTGAATTACGATATTTTAACCTACTTGAAGTTCTTTTCATAACTCTGACAAGCTTAGAGCTATTTTGTCATCCTCCTCTATAGTTTTGAAATTTATACCTGTCCTGGTGGTTGCCGTTTTTCCTCTTTTTTGCCAGAAGAATTTGTTCTGTAGGGTCTCTTTTCCTCCTTTGTTTTCTGTCTTCTGTTTTTTAATATCACGTCTGTCCTATTCCCAGTTATCAATGCCCAGACTCACTTCTTTCTTACATGAGAACCTTTGCTGTCACTCCATCCTCTCCTCCTGCACCGTGGCTATCTTGTATTGATAGGGTCTGAAACCAGTCAGACACATTAACAATCATCAGCATCAGAGTGAGCAGCTGGTGTTTATAATTTTACTGTAGCTTTTCTATTATATTTTTTTTCTTTCAAGAATTATTATTGGCATTTGGATTTAATTCAGAACCTTGCTCACCATTATTTAAAATTAATTCTCTATTTGAGTGGTTTCATGGCTCATCATTTCAGTGTTCTCATATTGATTTAACTGTTTACTCAGGTGTCTTCAGGTAACTTTTTCAGGAGCTTTCATAGGTAGCATCATTTCTTTGTCCTTGGATATCTGAGGTCCTCACCTTTGCACCATAGCTCATCTGGACATAAGAATTCCTGGCTTATGTTATTTCTCCCTGAAAACTCAGTAGATTCTGCTGCATTGTCTACTGACCTTTAATTTTGCAGAGAAACTCTCTGAAACGACATTATTGTTTTTCCTCCTTCACAGGCTTCTTGTGTTCTCCCTGAGGCTGATATGTTTATTCTTTTAGTTAGAATTCCAGTTGTTACAAGGTATGCTAGCACTAGTCTCTTGTTAATATATTTTGCTGTGTAAGAAATGTTTATAGCACCGTTATTCACAATAGCCAAGATATGGAAGCAACCTAAGTGTCCATCAACAGATGAATAGGTAAAGAAGATGTGGTGTGTATACATATACATACATACACATATATATCTATATAGACAGATATAGATATATAGAGAGATATAGTACAATGGAATATTACTCAGCCATAAAAAAGAACAAAATTTTTCTATTTGCAACAAGGTGGATAGACTTGGAGGGCATTATGCTAAGTGAAATAATTCAGACAGAGAAAGACAAATACTGTATGATATCACTTAAATGTAGAATCTAAAAAAATGAAACTAGTGAATATAACAAAAAAGCAGACTCACAGATATAGAGAGCAAACTAGTGGTTACCAGTGGGGAGGGGAAGTGGGCAGGATGGGGTAGGGGATTAAGAGGTACAAACTCTTATGTATAAAATAAGCTACAAAGATATATTGTACAACACTGGGAATACAGCCAACATTTTACAATATCTATAAATGGAGTATAAACTTTAAAAACTGAATCACTATATTGTATACCTGTAACATATATATATATATATATTGTGCAGCAACTGAACTTAAAAAAATATATAAATAAAAGGGAAATGGTCTTCAGATTTGCACACTCAGCAGTGGTGGGTTTTCTCCCTCCTGTGATAACTGACCCTATTCTTGGCCCCTTCTGTGCTCTGGGTTCTGAATCTTGGCTTAGATCTCTTGCATCTGTCCTGGACTGTCTCTGATTTGTCATTTCTTCTTTGTCTCGCGGCCCTCCTCTGAGGGCTGGGGTGGGGTCTCCACTGCCCCGTCTGTCCCCCTTGTTTTGATTCCCAGCCTGTGTTCAGTCTCTGGGTCTCACCGCCTCATGTGGGCTGTTTCCTCCTCGTTGCCACCTCCTCTGTGCTCCTGGGTGTTTCTTGAAAATACAAAGTAGATACTTTCTACATTTTCTACTGTCTTTCATTAGGTTTATTTTGACCAGAAAGGGTCTTTTCATGTGCCTCTGGTGTTTCCCTGCTTGCTCATCCTTAGCAACAGAGGATCTCACTTTCGTGGGTGGGTGAGTAACACAGACGTGGAGTGAGTCCACAGCTCAGGCTCATGTGAAGGCGGAAGGGTGGCGTTTGGACAGGCTGCAGCTTTCCTTTGCCGGTCAGCCCCCTGGCAGCTGAGTGGGGGAGGGGCGGCAGCTGAGGCAGCCGTGCCCACGAGGGGCTCCGTCCTGTCCCGGGCTCGTCTCGGGAAGTATAGCAGCAGGAGCCTTTCTTCTCTTTCCAGCCCCTGAGCTGGTGTGACCTGTGCCATTGTGACCCCAGCGGGGGTGGTGGTGGTGGTGGTGGTGGCTGGACTCCAGACCCGCCTTAATCTTAGCTCTTTGCATATAGACTGTTTTCAGTATAAAAACATAGTAACGTTGCCATAGACATCTTCATGGGTATAGCTTTGTATTTCACTTAAATGATTTCCTCAGGATGGCGTCCTTTTATTTTGAGAGAAAAAGGCAGGGGTGTTTTTTTGTAGGTCAGTGACCATAAATATTTTTTATGACACCAAATTATTTTACAAAAATCTTACGCTCATTTGCTCTGCCAGCAGCCGTAAATAAATAACTACGGTTTCGTTTTATCCTAAATAGAGCTGGGCATCATAAAACAAATCATAGATGCTAGTTGAGAATGTATTGTTGAGATGGAAGTGTGAGCAGACGTCTTGTTTAGTCAGTGTATACTGGGGACGTCTGTTGCCCGTGAGAGTGACCTATACACTGGGGACACCACGGTGACCATGTGGACAGCACCTGATGGAAAGAGTCTGGGGGGAGGGCCTTGGGATGGTCACCGTATACGGGTAGGTGGCCTTGGAAGATCTCCGCTCTGATGGCTGAGCCGCACACAACGCTGGTCTCCTTGTTGTAGCAGCCACAGCACTGAAGAACTTTCCTAATGAAACAGGGCTGAGCTAGAGACGTACCCATATCTTCTTTATCTTGTAGGAAAATCACACTTTTGATTTTGTGGACAAGCTGAAGACTTTATCTGAAACACTGCTGAACTTATCCAGTGTTTTTTTTGTTTTTTGTTTTTGTTTTTGGCGGTATGCGGGCCTCTCACTGTTGTGGCCTCTCCCGTTGCGGAGCACAGGCTCCGGACGCGCAGGCCCAGCGGCCATGGCTCACGGCCTAGTCGCTCCGCGGCATGTGGGATCTTCCCGGACACGAACCCGTGTCCCGTGCATCGGCAGGCGGACTCTCAACCACTGCGCCACCAGGGAAGCCCATGTCCAGTATTTTTCAGAGCAGCAGAAATGGTCAGATGCTCCACCAACTGCAGGTGAGGGAGGGGTAACCCTTTTGCCACCGAGGGCTGGGGGAACCCACACTCAGGTGTGTCTGCAAAACCAGAGTGGTCCTTTAGAGGACTCTGCAGAGCCACCTGGGGCGTGGCTTGCCCAGTTGACTGGTAATGTTGACGTAAAATGGGATGTGTGTGAAAACTTTTTGTAGGTGATCAGTTGTTTTGCCCATGCAAGATGTTACTATTGTGGAAATGATCAATAATGCACTAGTATTTATTTGTGCTTTAAATTCCATGTTAAATTAAAGCTTTTTGGGGTGGTTTTTTTGGGGTGCTTTTCAACTGTGGGTCTATTAAAACAATTATCATTCCCCAATATTCTGTACTGACAATGTAATATATTCCAAAATACGTGGGCTCTAGTTTCAAATGGCCTGACTTCTTCTCAGCAGGACAGTCATTAGTTACAAAACTTTCATCAAGGTAGATCACATGAGAACCTTTTGGGGCATCTGTGTAACTCTGGCTTAATGTGCATCTGATAGCATGAGAAAATACAACTATATTTTTATTCTTGTTTGGCTTATTTTTAATCCACTGACCAAGTAGTTCAAGGTGGTTCCGAGCAGGGACTCAGAGCCAAATGGTCTGGGTTTGATTCCCAGTCCTGCCCCCACTGCTGTGTGATCTTGAGCTGGTCACTGAACTTCTCTGTGCCTTGGGCTTCTTACCTTTGAAGTGAGGAAATAACCATAGTTATGAGCTGTAAATTAACTTATGTAAAGCACTTGGAATAGTGTTTGGTACGTAGGAGATGCTTCTGTGTCTGGGTCCTCCCAAAAGCAGACACCGAGATGAGGTTACATGTGTGAGAATTTTGTCAGGGA